GTACATTCTGCATTGACATTAAGGTTGTCATCTTGTTTATATGTCGAAAATCTAGTCATTGATTGAAAAATGTATTCTTAAAATCAATATACAAAAATCTACCAACTCATTTGATGTCAAATTTGATATACATGTAACAAGATTGTTAAATAACATTGACTTTTTAACAGTAAAATTGATGAATCCATCTTGAGATACCAATTTAACCCTTGTTTGATGGCCATTATTTAGCTAAAAAATGTTTTGAATTTTTAGGAGAACGTGTGATTAAAATGTAGAAAACGTTTTTTAAATTTACGTGCAAAAAATTTAATTGTGTGAATATGTGATTGAAAATGACGTAAAAATTTGAAATAATTGCTGTCAAATATTGAGCACCAATTTACTCTATTTTTAAGATCAGAGATCCGCTTGATGCAAGTGCTAGATTTTTTTTTTTATAAAAGGTAGAAACTTTTATAAAAAATTGTGATTTACACGTGGCCATGTGGGAACCTGATCTATGTCTTGTGCACTGCCACTGATCCACCATTGTGATAATCTTAAAATTATCAAAAACTAGACAGCTTTTTCTCCATGACAGTGCTCAAAAAAACCAAAAAATGTAAGAACTCAACAACCACGTAAATACCATGAAACGAATTATGCATTTGTGTCTGAAATTCTTGATAATATCATTACAACTTATAAGTTCCTTGTAAAGCACCAAAAATAAAAAAATAAAAAAGACTTTTGAAACTGTGACGCAAAATACCATTGAAAAGCAAGAAGTATAATAATAATTAAACTAAAAGGTCCACCTGAAGATCTTGATTCTGAGATCAACCTTACATTTTGCATCAGAAGTATTGGCCAAGGCTGGATTTTTGCCCTTCTGCACCGACCCACGAATGCCATCACACTTGACCCTAATCCCGATCTTTTTCGTTTTCAGCTTTTCCATTTTCACCCCTATCATCGTGTCCACCACAATCTGTAATGGGATCCCATTTCTCTTCTTCAGATCTGATGTCAATGAATTCGATTCGTCCCCGTCTAATAATTGGTAGTTTAATCCAGTTATGGTGTGAATTATGAAAATGGTGTCCGGCGAATTGGTGAAATTTTTGAAAGAACCAGATGATATGGTAACTTGATTAGATGACACTGTGATGGACATGGGATCGTAGTAGAATATCACTTTTGTGTTGGGGTTTTTGGCGGATAGAGTAAGGTTTAGTTGAGTTGTTAAGTGGGTTGTGCCGTCTGAGGTTGTGGTGGTGAGGTTGAACTGGGAGATTTTCAGGGAGGTGACGGAGAATGCAGGGCGGTGGGGGTGGTAGAGCACGTAGAAGGCAGCGGCGGCAATGGCGGCGAGGAGGAGAATAGCAATGAGAAGGATAGTGGACCAGAAGCAAGTGAGGCAGAAGCAACGGCGGCAGCTGAAGCGTCGTCTGCGGAGGGTGTGGGCGGCAGGGTTGGGACGGTAGGGGTGGCGCATGGGGTTGTAAAGCTGGGTTTTGGTTGCTGTCTGGTTGGCGGCGGCTGCGGCGGCAGCGGGCTTGGCGGTGGCCCCATTTGGCTTCATTGATGGGTAACTCTATCTGTCAATTTCAGTATTGTCGAAGTTCAGATTTGGAACAAAAATATATATATTGCGCTATGGAGTTGTAAAGAAAGTGTGAAAGAGAGTGTTTTTAGTGTGTGACTGTGTTTTTTTGTTAGAGAATAGATGAGGAGTACTGTGTTTATTCTAGAGAGAGAGAGAGTGAGTGAGTGAATAGAAGAGGAAGAGAAAAGGCACAGTCTTAACAATGACGAATGCTAGATTAATTTCATCTTTGGTCACTGAACTTTAAACAAAATATCAATTAGGTAACTAAATAATTTATCTCAATTAGCCCTGTTTGGTGAGAATTAAAATTAAATTTTTAGTAGATTTTGATAAAAAAATTGATGAAATATATGGTTGAAAAGTTATGAATTCCATAAAATATGTTATTAAAATTAATTATTTACTTTGATTTAAATCAAAATTTAACTTTTAATATCTACCAAACATGGTCTTTTTCATCACCCCATAACATTTTGTCACGAAGTGTCCCCCAAATTTATGGAAATTGCCTAGTCGGCAGCTAATCGACATCGAATATGACACCCATAAAATGAAAATTAATAAATTTAGAGTTAGGCAAATGTATTTAAATTATGTTAACTCTTTTACGATGAAACCTAGTAATAAGTTGATATGTTCATATAACAATTAATTTAAGAGATGACAAATGGTGGAGTGGTGAAATTTAAAACTATACTGAAGTTCAGTGACCCAATTAAGATTTGGCTCACAGTACAGGGACCCCAGATGGAATTTATCCACTAATGTTCCACCTCACCTCTTGTTTTTTCTATTCTTTCTCTTTCTATATACTTTTGTCTGCCGCTTGGATTGTATGGTGCATGTACATGTGTGATCTCTGATTACTGGGCATGGTGTTGACATGTGGGGATCAGAAGAGCCGAGTTTAAGAGACTACACCAACGGAACTTGAGTTACTTTATTTTTTATTTTTATTTTTTCAATTTTGCTCTGTGTAAATCAAATTTGGCATCAAGTTTAATACTGTTATAAGGTGACAGTTTTTTATACATTAATTTTAATAATATTTTAAACAATTAATGACTTATATTTTGACATATAATGGAGTGTCATACTTGTAGCTTAATTCTTTTTCCCCCCTCAATCTTTAGAGCATATTCAACGATATTCAAAAGGGTAATTATATTACCACCAAAAAATTTATTAAGTACACCACTATTTTTAATTTTTTTCGTATTTACTTAANATTATATTACCATCACAAAATTTATTAAGAGTACCAAAATTTTTTATTTTTTATTTACTTAAATAACCTTAAGTAAAACTACATAATTTGGGTTAATATACTTTTAATTAATCAAATCATATTATAATCACACCACAAACCAAAACCTAATTTCTTCTTCTTTTCTATAATTACGAGTCTCATGCCGTGACACCACATGTAAGAATTCGTTAGTTTTTTTTAATCATTCTTTATTTATATTTTTCACAGTTATACAATTCATTAGATCTTATAATTGCAAAATACAATTCTTTCAAAGACCCATTCTTTTTCTTATTGGGTGTATTTATTAAAACCATGTTTTAATTGTGGTGTACTTAATAAATTTCGTGGTGGTAATATAATTACCCTATTCTAAATTAGATCTAAATTGTAATTTTAAATAATCAAACTTTAAAATTAATCTCTAAAAGACTTATTTTAACTTTTCAAAATAGAGAATTAGTTTTGTTGACCTAAAAAATGTGGCAACACAATTCCGACCACATTCCCTCAACGTAGGCGTCACCGCGCACTCGAACACCTCGTTAGAAAGTAAAGGTCATTTAACAAGAAAAAAGACAGATGAACATTTGCATTCTGACAATTAAGTCAACGACTAGATGAGAGATAATATGAGTGCAAGAGGCAAGATAAAGGGATTTGGTTAGAATTAGAAATTTCATACCTTAAGTGTAGAGTGGATCGCTATATGTAGAGAAATGAAAATGGGTCAGACGTGCTATTAGGTCAAGTTTCAAGCCCAAGATTAGGTATAGTCATTATTTCACTACTTTTTATTAAGAAATTAGATTAAAATGAATAAAAATGATGGTTTCGACAATAAAAAAATGTAATTAAAGGTGGAAATGTCAAAAAATAAAATGTATGGACCCTTTTTTTTACAATAATAGTGAAATGTATGGATATTATGTGATAATTACCCTTTTAATAATTTATTTGAAATTCGTTTGCACATTTTTAAAAAAATTGAGACTATGATTGCAATTTGTTATTTTCTTTTCTTTTTACTTTATTTAAATAGAAGAGTATATTTGTCATTTCACAACTTTTAATTGAAAAAATGGATAAAAATGACATTTTGCACAATAATTGGTGGAAATAAGTAGGTCTGGCAAAAAAATCGAAAAATCGACCAAACCGAAACAACTCAAGTCGGTTTGGTTGAGCAAATCGGTTCTCATCGGGTAATGTAAAACCACAAACATAATGGGTTGGGTCGGTTATGGTTAATGCTTT